CCAATAAAATATCTCACAGAATCAGCGTAAAAAACATAGAATTTTGCCGAGAATTTTCTAGAATTTTAATAAAATCCCTGTAGAATTTCTAAGGAATTCCAATATCATTTTCTAGCAAATTCGGTAAGTTATTGTATTGAATTGTTTCATACGCGTTATTTTGTTTTGAACATGAAAATCCTCCTGTATGGTCAACTTTTTAAGAATATAACTTTTAGTTTCTATGCATTGTAAGCTCGGTTTAGGCGCTATTTAAATCCGATCATTACTTCGAAATTGCTAAACAAATTAGACTATTCATACTTGTTAAATATTTGGGGTGAAAGAGAGAATTGAATTTTCTAATTTTTCAAGTAAATTTGAAGTTCAGAGAAATTTTGGTCCTAAATCGAATTACATTTAAATTTCATTTAACTACACATTTTTTATCAAGTTTACGAAGGATTTCCATATTATTCCCGCGAAGTTCGTAGCAATATCTACCGCAATTAATGTTCATGGATTTTGCGTGCTTCCCCTAGGTTCACCTCCATCATGGCCTCGAAAAAGTCTATAATTATTCTGTTATCTTATATGTGCCTCAGAAATCAGAACTGACTGATTCCTGTGTAGTTGGTGGGTAAACTAACAGTGTGCATAATTTTCAACCTATCTCAATTGAACACAAACGCCAAACGGCGAAGAAATAATTCACTGTATCTGACAATAGTTTCTCTTTCCACTTGTACTCTTTGAATGGATTTTTTTGGCTGCCAATAAAAAAGACAAGTGAAGAGGCAATTAAATAAGGAGCACGAATTCAAATACTGGATAAAAGATATTAGGAATATCGTTTAGCTACCAAAATATATTTCCGGATGACCGATTGACCTCATTAGTCGCATGAATTTACAACGAGACTCTCACCACGCGACAAATAACTACCATGATAGCATTACTCGAATAAAAATTATCTCATTTTTGTTTTATGCAGCTTCGATGTTTCCGTATGTAAAATATTCATGATGTAATAGGAAATGACAGGGACGTCTGACATCTAACCTGATTTACACGTTTAAAAATTTTTGTCTGAATTTTCCCTTCCAAATTCCGGAAATTTTTATCCTGTTCAAGTTCCGTCGAAATTTCAGGCAATCTTGTCCTTGAAAAATCAAATATTCCATTGATTTTCTGTGCAAATGATCTGGAAATCAATAGAATACTGGATTTTTCAGTTCAATTATTCTTTGAAAATTCAAAAAAATCAGGGAAATTCATTTTGTTTCTGAATATTCATGTTCCCCTGAAAATTCAATCAAGTTGTGAAATTTGCACCTCATTTCCACTAAAAACTCATGAATTTCCGTGAATTCTATTTAAAACTTGAAATTTCATAACCATTTTTTCCCTAAATCCGATTCAATGTCACTCTCATGAGATTTACCAAATTATCTTCCATGAAATTTCAAAAAATTTCTAACAGTGTACGTGAAAAGCCATCACTCCGAGGTAAAGATAGTATACAAGAGAATATGTTTTACATAATAGAAAAATTTTCTCTCAGTGCAGATTAATCCGCCGTAATGCTCCAAAATTGTCTCCAATTTTCAAACATAAATGGGTTTCGATTGAATTAATCTCCCATCTGAATTTCAAACGATAGAACTGCAGTATTGGGCTTTTTGCGGGTTGACGTCATATTCATAGCAGAGCCTCATTTATTTCAACCGAAAATTTCCATTCAACGTTCCTATGCGACTAAATGGGAATAACGGAGAATTATCAGTTGTAATACCCCGAGGCCTTAAAAAATTATCGGATATTCCCCGAAAGCTTCGTTGTAAACGAATGAAGGTGTCAAGTTCTGCAGGCTAAAAATCCCGAGTGCGCTCGTTTTTTTCCAGGGAAGCTTGAGGGTATTCGATGAAATTTGAAGGTCGAAAGGTATTCGGAGGACAATTTCCTCAATTCTGTTTTTGGCCGAATACAGTGCGGTGGTCTGTATTACCTTTTGGTAATACGGAACGTGTTTCGGCATAGATTTTGGTGAGAGTTTTCACCAAAATGTGGAGAACATTTGCAAAAATAAAAAATAACAATTGATCAACTACTGTGGATCAAGTGATCAACTACTGTGGATCAGTTTGATAATTCACCCGTAGCCCTGTAATTCATCAGCTATAATACCCCAAGACCTTCAAAATTATCGGATATTTCTCGGATGTTTTGTTCCACAGCAAAATCCCCAGCGTGCACCAGAAAGGATTTTACTGCAAAACTGATCCCGATCGTTGATATGCAGAAATACTTGAGGGAAATATCCGATAAATTTTGAAGATCGAGGGGTATTCGCAGGACAATTTCTTCAATTCTGATTTTGGCCGATCAGGGTGCGGTGTTCCGGGTTACGGGACACATTTCACCAAAATGTGAGGAATATCTGTCAAATTCGTAGAAAACAAGTGACAGGCTACAGGGAAATTATCAGTCTGATAATTGCCCTGCAGTCGGGAAAATTATCAATTTGAAACTTGTCACGTGACCCTGAATATTGCATTCTGATTGGTCAAAATCAGAATTCAGGAAATTGTCAAAGCATTCTATTCCCGCTCCTCCGAAAAATGTCAAATACTAAATTTCGATGGGGTAAAAACTGCTAGCCTTATTCGCTCTCTTCAATTTCTGAATTTTGCCTTGTTGCGACTGATATGCCATGGTTTTTACGTATTCAATGAATTTCAAAGGGTTTTCCACATGAATTTTTCATAAAGATTTCTCCTATGTCAGATTTTCGTGCTTGATCTATTTTCTAATTCATACACCGCAAACATGATCTTTTCATCCAACAGTATCATGGGTTTTAAATCACCATCTTGCGCATTTGAATCTTTTATTTCATAGAGATAGCAAATTTCTTCTTTATTCAGAGACTAAAAGTCATATGAAATGCTGTATCCTTCACTCCACAGAGTTGCACACCATGTTTTCCAACTTGAATTTATCATTATACCTATTATCATTTCCAACTTTTATAGTACTCGAGAAGATAGCGGTTTCATGTATTTACACGCATCGTAAACAGTTCACTCCACCTCTGGAACTAAAGGCATCAGGGTCAAGAAGATTCTCAAACCCCCTTGAAAAGTTAAGACTGGAACGCTCCAAAAGTTTGTTCATTTTGAACTCGGCAAAAAGTTTACAAGATCGTTCATTTACTTAGTGTATTATTGTAAGAGTCGATTCAAATGAACGTACTCCTATTACAATGGTAACTGCCAATTACCCAAGAGCAGATGTACGACATGTTACGAGGAGTAAAATTTTATCCCGAGTAAGTTCAAATGAAGTTGTGATTTGTAGAAACTTCATTAAAGTAGTTTCAGTCCGACTGGTTATATACAGGTACTCTAAATTCTGGTTATTGTAACCTAAGTCTAAAAAAATGAATCGACGAAGGCAACTGCAAGACGTACAATGAGAAAAAAAAGTTTTTCGAGAAGTACGTCTCCACTTGTATCAAGAAACTCATAAAGCTCGAAATTTGACACGAAAAAAATATCTTGTACCGAGAAACAAAACTTTCGGCAACATGTGTGTACTTATCCTAAAGACGAGGACAATTTGTTTATGACAAGAAAGTTATTTCTCAACCCAAGTCTAATGGAATCAGTTTATTCAATAGTTTTTTAGTCCCAAATCGCAAATATTTTAATCGGAAAGCCACTTGAATTGGTTCGAGATGTCGCTTTCTGGTTGTGAACCTATTGTCCCTCATCTTTCATACAAGTATAAAATTACTCGATGAAAGTTATTTTCTCAGTATAAGAAATTTTTCTTATCAATTCAATAGCGAAGCGGTAAAACTGTTTGAGGCACATTCTCCCAATAATCATCCTGGGTTTTGGCTTAGATTTTGACAATTTCAATTTCAATTTTCATAATTTGTTATGTATATCAAAAGAAACTCAACCCTAAATTTAAACTCCGATATCTTTATTGATAACCAAGAAAACGCATGTTGAAATTTTTCTCTCCTTTTTTTTCAATCAATTTTCACGGCAACAGTTTTCATTCTATGAATAAATGTCACTAATAAGTTTTCTTCAGAAATTGTCTGAAGTTTCAGAAAAACAAATTTTCGTTGTCGTTCCAGTCTTTTTCGGCCATGAAAACTTAAATTTTTAACAAAATTTACTGGTTTTTTGGTTGTCCACCTTCTCGAAAAAAAAATTTTTTTCTTCTTCGGAAAATGTATACTTTTTGGAGTATCTCCACGAATTTTCAACTTGGGACTCTCAATAGAAGCTGAATAAACGTATGAAAACGGAAAAAAAACGAATTTTTAGGACAATCATAAGAATATCTGATATTTCGCGGTTTTTCAGTCGTCCACCCACTGAATGGAGATTTTTTGTTTTTCGTCGAAGAATATGTATTTTTTTGAGTGAAAATTGAAAGTCAATCCCAAAACCGAAGCCGAAACATTGGACGATAATTGGGAGAATGTGCCTTAAGTAGATTTTGACTATTGGTCAATTTCCAATGAGTATCGCGGAATCTAAGGCAGATATCAAAATTTTTATCATAACCTTTTTTATAGAGCCAATTGAGAGCTACGAGAAAGGAATTGCGAAAATTTCGCTATCTCCCTCAGATTCGGAGATATTTCTCAAAAACTCGGCTGAGAGTTAAGTCGAGTTAAGGGGAAACGGACCCCCTTTGTCTCTATTAACTTCTATAATTATGTTTTCTCCTGCAGTTATTAATATTTATCTGTGACACTACTTTATCGACTCGATCATTGCATTTTTGAGTCAATGAAGTAGTTTCATGAATAGCAAATACCAATTACGGGAGATAACACAATTCTAAAAGTTCATATAGACACAGGGATTCCGTTTCATTTTAAACTGTTTTACCGCTTCGCTACTGAATTTTCGAGCTGAGCTTCTTGATACGACTAAAGACGTACTATTGTACATCTCATCGATATTCTTTCACGAAACCATTAGACTACTTACCCTCTTGCTGCAGCAGTACAACAAGTAACACCACCATTAGATCCATTGTGAAATCGTTGAGTCGTTATCGGTTGCTAATTGTTCAGTTCTCCAATGTTATTGTTTGTGACTCATTTTCGTTTTAGTCACCTAATCCACACTAACGAGAGCCACTTCAATTCATCTAAATTGAAAATTAATAGGATCAAAAAGAATTTTGTTTCCTTCCTGCGTGGTCGAAAGGAAATTTCTGCTTTGATGTAACAATTACTCGGCTCTTCACAGTGGTTCAATTATCACTTTGTTCGATCATGATTGGGGCACCGACTCATGTGGAATTATCACTCACAGCTGAAACACAACACGTATATACAGCAATAAGGATGCGGATCCCTTAATTGCAGTGGCATTGTTATTTCACTGTCAATTAAATTTAATGATTGTTCTTGAGGTGGAGCATTGAATACCATTGAATGGAAAAGGGTGAGAATTGAAGGCATTCTATACCTCTAATGATATGTAAGACATCGCTCGTTATACATACGAGTTCAATCGTGAATGATACTTGTAGAAGCATGCTTTTAGCACTTGAATTAGTAATTTGCGTTATAAAGCCAGTTAACAGCATCAAGGATCCATTTAACTATCTACTGCAGAACCCCTCTTTTATTGTAATACTCTTCATCCATAAACTCGGAGGTTCTTGTCTTTGGTACTTAAAACATCACTTGTGCTACAAGAGAATATACAAACAGCTTATTCGGTTCTCATAACGAGGATCACGTAATTCCTATGGGAAGATGAGCACCTGAATTACTCGTTTGACAATGCTGTATGAAAGAGGACAATTTACATAATTTATATTCGTGAGTGCAGGCAGTATAACGCAACATGAAAAGTGGTTATTCAACAATGACGTGTGAATGCTTTTTTAAAAATGAATTATTTCCGGGAAATTGAGACTGTTTAGTATTTATACAAGCGCGTGGGATGCAGTAATTGTGAAAGAGAGAGCTTAATCGATTTTTCTCGTCTTTTTTTATTGTAAACAGTAGCGGGGAAATTTGGAATAAAAAAGTTGTATAGAATGGCAAATTCAGGTCGAGCGCACATTCCGAGCTGAGAGATTTTCAAAGCAACTTGTTGCAAGCTTCAGGGGGCTATCTGTGTTGACTGTGGGCAGAACATGTTCATATTCATGTGCAGTCCAGCGTGTTCGAAGTGGTCGAGTTCTATCGGGGCAATCGAAGATATTGGAATTTTCTCAGGGAAGAGAACTGAATGGGTTTTATGGATATCCATGAATCACTGGATACTTGTGAATTTAGTGAGAATTTTTAGTGAGAGAAGTTTTACCACTGAAATGGACAATGCAATGGAATTTTGAAATATTAAGGTAACAAAATTTATTATAAATGCAATATTTATAACTATGAGACGGGGGTCCCGACTTCAAACGGAAAATTAAGCGATGACAAGTGATTACGTGATCATAGATAATTTGCATTATAGCCACGATTAATTTAGAAAACCAATCAACTATTGATTTTTATCATTTTCGATTTGACCATGTGTGCATGTGCTTTCTTCACGAAATTTTTTCTTTATCATAAATTCACTGACAGAAAAAACTAATTTTTATAAAGAAGGCTTACTTTATGCAAGAAAATATTCTTTTGTCAATTGTAAAAATCGTAAAATCTCCTGATAAATAATTTAGTTCTCAAACTGAGAGAAAAAAGGTCTCCAACAGGGTGAGATTCTCTTCTCCCGAAAGAATTTTTAAGCGTTCTCAAGACTAAAAAATGATATCCTTCCCATAAATTTTTGTAGTTTGCTTTATATCTACAATTTTTTGTCATTAGAAGTTCAAAGTTGGAGATGATGAGTGATCAGATCGGAAAAGTATAAATTCTCATAATCCATTAAATTCTAGATATAACCTAAACTATAGGAATTTATGGGAAGACTTATACTAACAATTAAAATTGTTCTTTCTCTCAGTGTGAGCACAATATTATTTACCAGGAGATTTCACGATTCTAGAAATTGACAAGAGTATTTTCTGTATCAAGGAAATCATCTCTGTCAAAAGTAATTTTTTCTCTTGATGTACCAAGTCCAAAAATGTTTGCTGGTGGGTACAATTTTCGAATGAGCCCTACACTGTTAGAAAATAATTGAAATTTCGTGGACAGTCGACTAGTAATTTTTAGGAGATTCACATTGTACGTAATTTACGGGGGCAAAATCATGAAATTTCAGTTTTCACTGGAACTTCAAGGAAATTCTACAATTTTCAACAGCATTGATATGAAAATACCTCAACCTACTTCAACTTTTAATGACATTTAATGAAATCATCGATATTCAGCGCCGAAGTACGATGAATTTTCAAATGATTGAGAATTCAATAATAGATTAACCTGAAATTTCTTAATTTCTATTCATTTTCAGAGAATAATTGAACTGAAATTTATAGTTCTCATTGATTTTTCCCTGCAATTTGGAATTTTTAATGATGAAATTACTCGAAATTTCAGTGGAACTAAAATGTGGTAAAAATCCAAAAAGAATACCCGCAATTTCCGCCAAATTTTTTTAACAGTGTGCAATATTTTTCGGTTGAGAGGTTTACCCCTTAGTGGGATGTACTATATTAAATCCATCGAGTCGAATATTTAAGTACTAAGATATTCCAATACTGTTGAAGTAATCTTTGAATATCATAGAAATTAGCAAATACGATATAACCCTCTGTCCAAAAATCATTCATGCACTGATAGGAAAGATGGAACGAATTAGTTACTGTTAACGAGGCTTTTTAATAAAAATAATATTAATATAATTTCTGATGCACTGATAGAAAATTACTCTTGAAATTTCAAGTGAAAACGCTTGACATTTTTAACAACGATAAAGTTACATGAAATTTCTGTAGAATTCTTCATTGACGAATCAGTTAACTTCTTGAATATTCAAGTAATTCTCAATTTTCAGGTCCATACGGGACTGATAAACCTTGAAAATTTTAAAAGTTCAGGCAATAACTTCTCTGAATTTTCAATCGCCTGAAAATTGAATTGTATGCGATGTTCAATTTTCACGATGAGTTTGGAAATTCAAGCTTTCGTTGACAAATCAATGATAGTTTAACATGAAAAACTCAATTTTTTTGAATTTTCAAGATGAATGAGAAATTTAGTGAACGTTTTCATTTGAAATTCAATTCAAACTCACAACATTGAAAATTCAGACGACGCTGTGACTGAAATTTCAAGAAATTTCTAACAGTGTAACTTTCGATGCCTCTTGCATACATATATTGCAAATTTATAAACACCGGGTGAGGTAGTCGATATCGCCCTTTAAGTATCCCCTCCCACCGTTAATATCAGTATCCGTAATTAAAAGTGCGCTGACGTTAATTGCTGTATTTCCCGTTCATGCTAGTTATATTTGCTAATAAATGAGAAATATGCTTCTGAATGCAAAGATTGAACTTCATTATTTTATATTGCATTGTTTAATATCATGATAACTAATTCCACTCATTTCAGGTAACATCATATCGGTAAATATTTACCAAAGAATAATCTCCATTCTTTGAAACTGAACATCAATTTTCAGGGCGTCCTAAAGATTTCTCTTGAGATTATCGTTATACGTTATTCATCAACGTCGATGCATAGTTGATGCAACGTGGTTTAACAAGAGCGACAATTGGGATAAAAAATTGAGGAAATACGATCAATTCAGTAACGAGAGATTCTCAAAAAATTTTATCACAAACAAAAAAATTGACAACTTCCATTTGAACGATTTGAATGCAGAAAATAAAACAATAAAAAGCCGTTTTTACACTGAAGAAAATTATCGGCGAAATCCTCTTCCGAGGAATTTCATTACCGTTCCCTATCTCGGGATTAATTCGTGTTCTAACGTCTAAATCATTCATATCCTACTCTAATGATGTTCAATAAATTCCAAGACGATGGATGTTAATCACAATGAGCAGATTGGTATGTATCTTAATTCCATGAAAACAATGGATATTACTGAATTAATGAAATCGATGAAGCCCGCACTTGCTTGCGACAGTGTCACGAAAGTTTGGGAAACACGCGAAGAATTTCCCCATTCCCACCTCCATGACCAACATTATGCCGAAGGCACTCGATACTAAATCAACCGGGAAAATTTCCATCGGGACATGAATAATGATAACTGATTCTTTCACTTGATATTAAAACAAATCACAAATTAGCGTGAGCAATTAAACGTTTTCAATTTCACACATCTGAAATCCAAATGGTAATGTCACTCTGTATTTCACGTTAAATTGATTTTTATTCTCCATGAATTTAGTTTCTTATGAAATTTTAACGTATATCCTGCGCACGTGACTCAGCGTGGAGGAGGGAAAAGTTTACGCCGCGAGCGGCCGTTGCCGACTACGAAAGCTCCACGATGTGTTTCATGCTTGGAACGCTTCATACCTGCGCGCACGCGCTCTACGCACTCACCAAAATTTTCTCTCGCACGAATTCACCAGCACGCAAAGTTTAAATGCAATATACTTCTTCTTGTTGTTACTGATTATTCACCGGCGCAAGCGTATTTTTTTCCGGACTCCGAGTCACATGGATAATTACAAGTGTTTGAGGTTTCAATATCACAAAGTGAATGCGTGTTGGCGTACACAGGCATTTTTGAGGCTGTAGAATCTTCTATATACAGATTGTCGTTTCAGTGATCAATCATATCTCCTGGCTTGCTCGTGCCATATTTCTCGACTTGTCTGGCTCACAGTGACGATTTTTTCCTCTCCTCCTCGCTTAGCTTCTCTCACAAACTAGGATAGAACCGTGGACAGATAATCCTTTTTGTCGCCCATCTCGTTAAGGTGTGGACACAGATGAGGGGAAAAAATTTGCCTGTTAAGATCAAAGCACCAGTGTTCCTACTCCTGGCGTAATGATATTAGTGACGAAAGTACAAAAATGACGGAAGCAATTTCAGCGATAGAGAAATGATGAGTAAAAATTTTTCGTTCTGAAGCAGAGGAACGTAAAGAAAAAAAAATTCACCCAGAAAAATGTTTTTTTTTAAATCAAATAAAAATTTTAATTTCAATTTTTTTACTTCTTTCAAGAAGCAGGATTTACTTATATTAACACGGAAAAAAAAATTCTCGAATCGGGTATATAATATTCCTGATTCCGGAATATTATATTCCGGAAAATTGCCTTCCCCCCCCCCTAATTTTTCAATAAAAATTCACTATCTCTTAGTTGCGGAGATATTTTTGAAAAACTCACCAATTCAATTGTTTGGGTTGTGAATTGTCAATTCACAATCTCCCTTCCCCCTTTTTACAAAATCCCCCCTCCTCACATCTGAAATTTCCAATATAAGGGCACTTATGCCCTTTAAATGCCCCTGCAGAATTTTTTTAGTTCAATCTGAAAATTTTCTAAAATTAAGAAAAATTCAGAATTGGCTTTAGAAAATATGAGTTCTTAAAAACAATCCCCAAATTGATTAATTTTTATGATCCCACCAAGGATAAAGCTTAAGAACAGGACTTTCTAAAATCTAGAAACTAGTTTCTACAGCTAATCCACTTTTTTTCTCTGTGTGGAATAATTCAATTGAAATTGACAATTTCCATGGATTTTTCCATGAAAATCCTAAATTTTCAGTGACAAAATTTTCTGAAATTTCAGTGGAACTGTAATTTGTTTGATATTTCAAGACTAAAATCCGAAAAATTCAGGGAAAATTTTTCGACAGTGTTTTGAGAGGGTGAAAAACTCAATTTTTCACCCCAAATACTCTGATCAACCAAAAGTTTGTTATCGGAAATTATCTCACGATACTCCCTTTATCCTTTGAACAGTCGGCAAACCTCTGGGGATGTCTCCGGAAACGAGAATAAAATATCCCGGATTCCGGAATATAATATACCGGATTCAGGAATATTACTCCGGATTCCGGAATATAATATACCGGATTCCGCAATATTATTCCGGATTCCGGAATATAACATTCCGGAATCAGGAATATGTGTATTCCAGAATCCGGAATATTATATACCCGATTCGAGAATATTTTTTTTTCCGTGAATCAAACAATTTATTTACTCCAAATAAATCTTTTATTAAATTTGAAAAAATAATTCATTTAATTCGAATAAATAGTTTTCTTATTTTAAGAAAATAAAAGGACTTCGGAAGTGTGTTTCAATGATATTCGTGGGCTATGTGGAAAAAGGTCGTACGAACCTAATCCAAGAAATGTGAAATCTGAACGATTTGAGCTCTCTAGAAACACTCTGATCCAATTTTTTATTACACTTTTCACTTCAACCTATACGGCCTTCTTTCATCATCGTTTCCCTGATAGTGACACCATGAAACAAAAATTTTGTCCCCGCCTCTCACCCTAAATGTCTTACGTGATTATTGCATGTTTTTCGTTCAACCTTTATCGATTTTATTTCCAACTCAAAGCGCTAGTAAATTTTTAGTATCAAGTAAATATTTATTTATTTCAAAGAAAAAAATTATTTGCATCAAATAAAGATTTATTGATACTAAAAAAACATTTATTTAATGTAAACAAAACGTTGAATAAAATTTTTTATTTCATTTGAAAAAGAACTATTTGGTACTAATTAAATAAATTTATTTATTTCATTCAATTAAACTTTATCTGAATCAAATGTTATTTTTTTGGATGTTTGCAACTAATTTTCATGATGGAATCACTTCTGGGTGTTTTATTACCTCAGTAAAAATGACATTTTCCATGTTTCAGCAAAGACGACTAAAATAAGCCCCCTGGCTGAATTTGATGAACAAAGTTCCGAACTTCAAGAAGCTCACAGTGCGCATTAATGTTTCGTCGTGATCCGATGGAGTAAGAATCAATTATACATTTTGAACTCTCCATGTACTGTAAGTCTACATGTAATATATAATGATACAAAACTTTTCTATAAAAAGACTAATAAATTATTTTAATTTTGAAATATACATGAAATAACCGGTAGAAAATGTGAAGAGTGAATGCATACAAAATTGTCTAAATGTAAGATGCATCGTTTCCAGTATGCAAGATTCATGTTCGCCAAGCTCAGGCAATATATAAATGTATATGTGAGTGGGATACGGCGAAGATTAAACGAAGAGAAAAAATATAAAAGTAGAGAGAGCAAAGATAAACAGACAATCATCATGGTGACAGAAAAATAAACGGGCATGCATTTTATTGGTGTGCGAATACATACACTCATACACGGAGAGACATATTCAGTAAAAATTACGGAACAATTCACATAATCTGCAATGGGGAATCGTTTGTCGGCAATTTTTATAGGAATGGAAGAGAATAAATCTGAATCGTTCAGTGAATTTTCAGGTTCATCACCGAACAAAGTACGAAATTGTCACGTAATTTTTGCAGTAGAAGTAAAATCTTACCGAAACTTTCCGACTTATTATGCCTCCAACGTAAAAAATTCTTAAACGTTGAACACTTTTTAATTCCATAAAATTTCTCAATGGTTGGGGAAAAATTACGGAACGACTTGTTCCCACAACAGTGAGTCATCAGATGGGTGGTTAATTTTTACGGAACAAATCGTAGAATTCACGTGGCGATCCGTACAATTTCAGTTCCGATTCACACTTTTTATTGAATTTTACTTCGCTCGCGCATTACGTTTCGAAACATAATTTTTACGTTTTTTGTTCCGGTAATTTTTATTGAATTTTTCTCTACGTGTATGTATGTGTTATATTGAGGAATGGAAAATTACCGTCGGTTTTTACGTGCGTCAAGTCAGTAGGAAAAAGACCATTTTCTAACCATTCCTGACATGACGCATACTTCATTTTCGTGACATCTTAATTAATATATGAGCAAATCAAAGTCGAAGCTGCCGATTTTTGTTTCAATTTTTTTCTGCAAATATGGCAATTAGACAATAAATTTGAAGAAGGAACAATATTGATAATTGAGGGAGTTGTGATGTTTTGAAAATTACTTTTTTTTGTTCACAAATTTTTTTTTTCCAAATAGGCCTCAATATTTCTGCGGGATTTCAAGCTATCAAATTGCCTTCTGGCACACTCAAAGAACATGAAAAATCCTTCAAAATGAGAGGTCATACAAATCATTATCTTCAGTTTGACAGGGTTTATACGAGAAAACGTTTTTTTTCAATCATTAATTACTAAAAAAGCAATTTTTTTTTCAACTGAAATTTTCACCAAAAATTTTCAATAAAGTGAATGGAATTTTAGCACCAATTAGAGTTTGTTTTTCACCGTAGTTAGGCGGTTATTATTTTTTTGAGTGGGACAAGTATTGACAACGATCGAAAATCGCTACTATTCTAATTGGCGCTAAAATTTTTGACATTTTATTGATAATTTTTGGTGAAAATTTCAGATAAAAAAAAAAGCTTTTTCAGTAATTAACGATTAAAAAGAAACGATTTCTTGTACAAACCCCATCAAACTGAAGATAATTTTATGTATGACGTCTCATTTTGAAGATTTTCCCGTGTTCTTTGAGTGGGCCGAAGGGCGATTTGATAGTTTCAAACCCTGCAGAGATATTAGGGTCAATTTGGAAAAAATGGTAGATTGTGCACCAAGGGAGGAAAACACGTTTTGCTACCTAGGTGCAAATACTGTTTTTCGTCATAACTGCACGGTATAGTTCGATTTTTCTTCGTAAATTTAGGGAGGAACGTGAGTTATGTCATTTCGAGGATCGTCAAAAACATCAGAAATCCGAGGAATGAAGTAAGCCACTTTCCTCCCATCATTTGTAGAGGAAAATCGAACTTTCCATGCAGATATGACGAAACAAAAATTTTTGGACCAAAACTAGCAGTTAAAAAAAAATCATAACCCCCTCACTTGTTAATATTTGTAAACAAAAATTTCAACATTTTTGTCCAATCGCCATCTTTTCAGAAATAAATTGAGTCGAAAATCTCCAGCATCATCTTTTTTGTCCTGCTGAATTGGCGTAGATCTACCCATATACAGATTTTATCGTCACGAACCGTGTAAACTCACATCAGAGGAGAAGAAAAAATGATTAAATTGCTCAATCAATGGAAAGAATGAAGTGATAACGATAATTAATTTTCCGAAACACAGGATGTAAAAGTTTTAATGGCCTCAATAAGGGTTATTATCTGTCTAAAGTTCCTAACAAAGAAATTTTCTCAGTAAAAAGTTTCGTTTTACGATTCATAAAAAAAAACTGTTGCACGAGAACTCACTTGGTAACTCCATTGACATGCTTAAGCGCCTCTCAAGAATACGAAAACGAGCTATAATCTCACACTAAAAAGATACGTGTGAAATGGAAACTGGCAGATATAAAATAGTCTGTTTTTTGCATAAACTCTTTTCA